GGGAGAGTTCTGCACAACGTTTATGTTATTCAACAAAACAAAAACCATATTGAGAATTTTATGACTTTGACAGTGTAAATTGGAAATCGAAAAACCTTTCAAGGTACAAATTATAATTTTCAACCAATACCCCCTAAATTATCATATGCACAACAAGTGGTATTTTCTATTGAAAATTAGACAACAATTACTAACAAAATTAAGAGGTAGAAGTATAAAACATGAGGGACAAAAAAAAAACTTGAATAACTAGTGGATCCTTGAACCTAATTTATTGATTTGATTCATCACAGTCAGTAGATTAATGAGCAGCAAGTCTCAAGTTTGGACGAAATATATTATCAATCCAACGATTATAGTAGATTAAATCAATAAATTAGATATGAATAACATTATTTTTTTGAATTTCAATTACTAACTAGGACAAATAATATTGGACTATTCCACTATGGTCTTGATCTCACATTTTTTTTTTTGAACTATTGAAGTTTTCACATTGTCCCCTTGACTCCTTGAATCATCTCCTCAAATACAAAACTAGAATATGTTTTAGACAAAAAAAAATGTATATTTGCCAATAGACAACTTTTTAGCAAATTTGCAAAAATGTTAATTGGTAGGATAATACGAGATAGAGCCACAAGTGAGGGGTCATAGTGTGATTTTCTCTATAACACAAGGACAATTTTTGGATTTGTTCAGTGNGATAGAGCCACAAGTGAGGGGTCATAGTGTGATTTTCTCTATAACACAAGGACAATTTTTGGATTTGTTCAGTGTGGTCTTCTCTGTTCAAGCATTATCCTCTTTTTATGGGGTGTCAATAGACTACAACATTGCTTATCCAATAATACATATCCATATGAGCAAAAAAAATAACAATAATAATACATATCCATGATCCACTAAAACATTAGAATTTCTAACAAAAGTTAAGTCTAAATATTCGAAGTAATACATTTTAAGCATAATGTATAATTGCACTCTACACATTCAAATATGGGTTTATCACTATCAGAAGAAGCACCACAGCTATAATACGAGGACCTTTTTCTTGCCTTCCGTACAAATTTTAGAGTGTGTGGGTGACGGTTAATTTTAAGGGTGCCCCCATACTTGACGTTTGAATATTTGTCTATAATGCAGTTTGGATGAAATGATTGATCACAATTATTACAATGATAGATCCAATAGTTGGGGTTTATTTCGTTCTCACACATTTCACAATGGAACTCATCAGGATGTTCACTGAATGGAGGATAGGATAGTATGAGGGGATGTTTGTCCCATCTATGCGTAATGGTATTGGGAAATAGGGCACAGCTATGCGCAAGATTGAACTTGCATGCTTCACATCCATAGCCGTTTGTAGAGAAGGTATTATCACATGCCTTGCAGAGATGTTTTGAACCTTTCACTTGAACCAATGGATGCTTGTGAGCTTGATGTGCAATCGAAGTAGGTAGGAAAGCACATTTGACATCAAGGAAGAATTCACATGTTTCACATGTGTAGAAGAATCCATTGGTGTATACGCGGCAAGCATAGCACCAGAAGGTCTTGTAGAATTCTGTATACCTACAAAGTTTCATTGGGTGTTCATGGTGAATTGGGTGCTGCAATTCTGGTGATAAGTTGACGCAACTTAAATGGAGAAAATAGTTGCATTCACCACAACAGTAAAACGGAAATGATATAGGTTGGACGCAACCATCACATAATATAATTTCATCCTTGATATCATCGTCCGTTTGCACATCAAAAAGGATTAGTGTATGCTCATGGCTCCAATCGATGAGCTCTGGCTCTCTCTCAATATCTTCAAGATTGATATGTTTAGCAAAATGTCTAAACANGATATCATCGTCCGTTTGCACATCAAAAAGGATTAGTGTATGCTCATGGCTCCAATTGATGAGCTCTGGCTCTTTCTCAATATCTTCAAGATTGATGTGTTTAGCAAAATGTCTAAATAGTTCTAAGGAACCATCGGTCACTGGTAAATATAGCAGATTAGGGTCGATTGATTGATCAACTTCATTCTCATTTTCACCACCTCTGAAACCACAAATTCCAAACAAAATATTTACTTAACAATGAGAAAATCACTTCAAATATTTAGTAAAAAGAGTGACAAAGTTTAACAAGACACAATTAGTAAACTCACCTGAAAGACTCTGGAGTCATAATTGAACATCTCACGTGGATAAAATATCTACACAGGGCACAACAATAAGCCCAACCATCCCTGGGAATGTAGAGACCACAAATACAACAATCTTGGTCGAAATTGATGAACTCAGAATACTTGTAAATGAAGGTGAGAGAGTGATGGTGATAATTACGTTTGATGATTCTAGGTAACAAAAGACAACTCTTATGAACCAAGAATTGACAAGTCAAACATATATANATCTTGGTCGAAATTGATGAACTCAGAATACTTGTAAATGAAGGTGAGAGAGTGATCGTGATAATTACGTTTGATGATTCTAGGTAACAAAAGACAACTCTTATGAACCAAGAATTGACAAGTCAAACATATAAAGGACATGTCTTCACTTTTTATGCGACAAACATCACAAATGAAAGAGGTTCGCCTAAGTATAGGTGTTAAAGGGTGTTCATGAAGTTCATGTGTAATCTCACGTTGCACTTGATGTGTAATCTCACGTTCCGGAATAAAACATGACATGCAAATATTAAACTTGCAAAGGGAACAAAAGTAGTTGAATCGATCTCTCGTTTCTCCACAAACATCACAAATATACTCACCACTACTAAAAGGCGAACTTGGATGGAGGGTTAGAAGGTGTTTAGAGTGTGTGTAGTTTTTAACCTCCCGGGGAAGTTTCGCACAACTTTTATGTAGAAAGTAAGAACAGGCTCCACAATTATATGCAGAGTCTATTATCACTTTCTCACACGCATAACAAAAACATTTGTCACCTTCACCCTCCATTTGCACTTCTTTGAGGATCAATGGATGCTCATGACTGAAATGTTGAAGCTCCATCTGTATGTCTTGGTGGGAAAGTGATCACGAGGAGGTGCGAGAGTGGTAGGTTTTCGACGCTGCAAAAACGAGGTATATACTTGGTACAAATTGAATGTAAATGAACTGAATAGATGCTTATATTAACTTCATTGTTGGTTTGGTTATTATTATAATAAAGATTCCTTGAATAATACAAATCAAAGGGTTTGGTCAAGAAAAGGCCTGCCCTACAATTTGATATAACTACTCTTTTCTTATTAGTTGCTTCTGCCCAAGTCATTGCGCAAATGCAGATGAATTCTTCATCTACGACTATAAGCCATTTGCCATAATTATTTCATATGCCAGTTGTATATGTTCTTTTCATGACTAGGTTGAGTTGACTTCTAATTATATAAGTCTTGTTTTTTGAGGTGAGATCTAGATATATATGTATATATATAAAGTAGTAAGATCATAAAAACTCTGTATTGAAACCTTTAGTACATACCTTTTATGTAGACCGTTGCATTACTACAGAGTACGGTACAGAGTTTTTATGATTACAATACTTAATAAAATATATTATATTAGTGAACTTTCTAACTCTGGTTTAATGAAATCAACCACTTCTAAAGTTTACTATACTCTGAAATAGTTATAGTTTCTTTTATATTTTATAGCTGATGATAGCGAGACATTCATACTGTTCATAAGGATTACAAAACTCTCAACTCAACTGTCATTTTAATTTTTAATGTCATACCAATTGGTTTTAACTATTCTCATTTTAGTTGTTGTTTTTTCCAAGTTGTTGTGTTTTCCACATGAAGATGAGTTGTCGAGTATTGTTGGCCACTTGCCATTTTTTTTTTCGGGCTTATCTCTGACCCAGTTTGAACAGTGTGTTGTAACCTACTTACATGGGTTAATACTAATCCACCCGAGGGTGGGTTAAAAACCCAATTAATGGGATATATTGTCTAATTACTATAATATCCCTTTTTACAATTTAACCCTATCACTATGGCTAGGGTCAAATGATATTGCGATATTTATTGTCTCATGCTGTTTTTTTTTTTTTTTTTTCCAGTTAAGCGTGATAACTCCATAAAAGTACTTGTATTAGAATAGTAAAACATCAAAATAAAAATAACAAAATTTGATATTAAAATAATTGTTGGGTGATTGTAAAAAGGAGTGTCTTACTAATTGAGACCGTCCTATCTAAATATCCTGACCACCTGTTCTAGAAAAACCTAACAACGGGAATATAAAAAATGGAGGTGGGTCCTAAGGCCTAACCCCTATGTAGCTGTCGCGGTGCAAATGGACAAGAAATAATTATAAACCAAATCGTTCGGAGTTTAAATCATGATAATTTTTTTAAGTTAAATCATGAATAATTTATCTCTCATGAATATTCTAATATTGACGTGGATGATTTTGCTTTTGATCATACAAAAAAGACATTAGTCGAGATATACGTAAACTGATTCAAACACCTTTGACAATCAAACCAGAAAAAAAAAAAAATGAGGGTGGGCGCTAGCCCTTTTGTAACTCCAATTGTAGTTATAGTGAAGGACCAGAACTTTAGATTTTTTTTAATTATTTATATTTTAACGTCTAAATTAAACAATTGAGTACAACAATTAAATTTAATATTAATATAATGGTTAGGTGAGTGAAGAAAGGGTCATCAATAATAGTTTGGTGAGTACACGTCTAAATTGAACAATTGAAAAAAATAATTAAATTAGATATTAATATAATGGTTGGGCGAGTGAAGAAAGGATCTTCAATAATGGGTTTGGTGAGGGAAGAGAGGGTTGTTTTCACTGGTTTTTTTTAGTATATATTGACTATACCGACTTTTCCTGAGTCTTTTTTTAGTATATATTGAAGAAAAGATTATTTTCACTGGTCTTTTTTAAATATATATTGACTATACTAACTTTCACGGGTCTTTTTTTAATATATATTGAAGAAAGGATTATTTTTTATATTATAATTCACTATACTGACTTTCATTGGTCTTTTTTTAGTATATATTAAAGAAAAGATTATTTTCACTGGTCTTTTTTAAATATATATTGACTATACTAACTTTCACTGGTCTTTTTTTAGTATATATTGAAGAAAGGATTATTTTCGCTAGTCTTTTTTTAGAGTATATTGACTATGGTGGGCCCTGGCCCTAATGTACCTCCCCGGTGGGCGGTGGCCATAGCGAGTGACAATGAAAACTTTTGCTTTTTCTAAATTATTATATTTTGATGCCTACATCGGATCCGGCTCCTCTGCTGTTCGGGAGGAACAGCAGCCCCTGCTATTCTTAAAACGACACCGTTTGGGGCCTCTTTTTGGAAAACCAATCAGACCCAAAAATAAGGGCCGGACCACATAGATAGATCATCACCATGGGTTGTTTATTTCGGGCAGAACACTAGTATGTTCCGTACAAAACAAATTTTTTTCGAAAATATTTTTAATTTATTATATATTTAAAGACACTCGTTCGATTATCAAAAATATCATTGACACCCACTTTTATTAAATCACCATTTATAATAAAAATAAATTATCTAAAATATTAAAATTGTCCCTATATAAACTTTAAACAATCTTTCTATATAAAATTATATTAAAATTTGAATCGATTAAAATTTAATTTTTTACATATTAAAATTTGTACGGAACATACTAGTGTTATGTCCGAAATAAACAACCCATGATGATGATCTATCTATGTGGTTCAGCCCTTGTTTTTGGGTCTGATTGGTTTTCCCAAAAAAGGAGCCGGATCCTGCCTGCCTACGTCAAACAATCGAATAAAGTAATGGTTAAGTGATTGAAGAAGAAAAGACTATCTTACAAATTGATATATTTCACCAGTATTTTCTTAGTATATTTGTATAATAAATTAATTTATAATTCAAATTGTAAAAGATAAATAAAATGACATTTACTTTTCATAGTTCAGATCGTTTTAAATTTTACTTTAAAGTTAATCTAGCGGCTAATATTAATACTCTAAATTTAATAGGAAAAATAGGCTTCTAGAGATGTGTTTAGAGTGATTTTTTAAAAGTACTTCTATGAATTATTTCTCATCAGTACTTTAAAAAAAATAGTGTTTAAAACCGCCTCACCACCACCACCATCGTCGATGTCGTCATCTTCGCCGCCACCACTACCATTGTCGTTACTGTCACCACCGTCATCGTCGTCGTCACCCCCACCCCCACCACCATCGTCATTGTCGCCACTGCCACCACTGTCGTCGTCGTCGCCGTCGCTGCCACCACCACCACCATCGCCACCACCAACACTGTCGCTACTGCCGCCACCACCCCTACCCCCACCACCACCTTTCTATCATCGTCATAGTCGTCGCCACCACCACCGCCATCACCACCACCACCACCATCACCACCGTTGTCGTTGTCGTCGCCGCCGCCGCCACCACCACCACCATCAGCGTCGTCGTCGCTACCACCACCACCGTCGCCGCCGTCGCCGCCACCCTACCACCACCGTCGCCGCCACCACGATTATTGTCACTCATCGCAAACATTACTGTCTCCTATCATCACCACTGCCGCCCACTACCTCTCACAACCACTGTTGTCCACCACCTCTCACCTCTTATCTCCACTATAATTTATGTTTAAATTTTTTTATCTCTGCTCTATGTTTATGATTTGATTTTGGACATAAATACAAGTATGTTTATTGTTTACCATTTTTATTACTTTATACCTTCAGACACAGATAATAACTAATACATTTATATTTGCATAACTCATATCAAAAGGCATGATACAACATAAAATTTATATGTTCAAAAAGTTGATTTCATAATTTTTGATAAATTTAATTTTTTTTAATTATCTAATTTTTATTTTTTTTGTATTAAATCAAGTTTAAAGGCACGAACAATTTCTAGTATATATTTATACTAATAAGATAAAATTGATTTTGAATCATTAAGTTAGCCTATCACGAGAGTGACTGAGATTCATTCAACCCGATGGATAAAATTCCCCCCCACCCCCCGGCAGTCGGTGCCCCACTT